CCGTTTACCGAAGTTACCCTCTCATGAAAAAGTTTTCCATTTGACTAACAACCCATCATGCTTTCTCTAATTTTTATTGCATTGAAAACAGTATGTCTCGCGGAAGACACCTCTGCAAGCTGATGATGTTGAAATACTATCCATGAAAGCTCGTCACAGTACTAGCGATGTTCAAACAACCCCAAGTGCTTCAATCTCAATTGATGGCACGTCTCTTGTCTTCGATCCACTCAAGTACGAGCTACAAACTTTGGAAGGCGAAGAAACTTTGGCAGGACTTCAAGCAGATTGCATCTATAGTAGGGATCACTTGGTGAGTACACAGTAATAACTTGGTTAATTTCCTGGATACATTAATTATCAGAACTCAACTTCAAAAGTTTGTTTTCTTGTTCACTGAATTCATCATCCTTTATATGATTTCAGATTCTAGGATATCGTCGCAAGGGGCTGAGTTAACACAAGTAACACCTAATACTCATACGCCTATCTTATTTTTAACTTGTTATTCAATTTTCCATACCTTTTTACTTTTAGTGATAGGTAACATTTTAAGTATACCTGCTACTGATACAATATGAGGGAATTTGTAAATAGAAATCCTGGAGGTTTTTTATTGCAGCATTGCTGTAGCTTCATTTCTTAATCCTGGTTGTTGTTCCATGGTTCGATTCTCATAGAGTGAAATTAATAAAGTCAAATTGTACCTGCCCACGGCCTACCTTTCCCAGGGTGCCAAAACTCCCATATCCATCCCCAGTAAGAACACTCCCCCGGCCCCCTAGGACTAGGAGGATGCCATCACTGAGAAGTCTAAATCATTTGTGCAGCTCTACAGTACTATACAACTCGGGACCTCGTTCCTGAATTTCTGCCTATATCTAGACCTAAAAGGTTAAAATATTATTTTGGTTCAAGTTTCGAAGACTGAAATAAACTTGTTTAGACTTGATTGGATGATATCTTAACCTCGTACTTTGCTTGAAGTATCTTGCAGCGTTCACTGTCTCGTGTTCTTTGATGTGTGATATCACAAAGTCGAGAGCAATACAATCAATCACTCTAGTGTCACCTAGCTTTTATATCTCATTGATAATCTTATTGTCACCCAGAGAAGGAACATTTGGGTGGCACTGATATGCAATTTTAAACTTTAAATAAGTTAAATCTTTTCTTGATCCCAATCAAACAGGTGGAAGTGAAGGGATAATTTTAACTACACAAAATGGAGTTGTATCAAATTAGTATCTCTGTTTCAAAATTAAATTATTAAATATTCAATATTTAAAAAATGTTCGATTTTAGTTCTTCCATTAAATCTGAAGTTGTTGCATATATATATATATATATATATATATTTTAATTATTCAACACTTCAAACACTGATTTCCCGAACACTAACTTATTAACCTAACTCATCGCCTCGAACACCAACTCATTAACTTAACCCATCACCCGAACTCCAACGCATTTACCCAACTCATTGCTCGAACACCAACTCATTAACTTAACTCATCGTCGTCGGGGACACCCCTTTACAAACTAATTGGATACTTCTTAGATCAATAATTCCAATAATCCAAAATGCGACCGTTGGCGCCGCTTGTGGGCCCCACGTTTTGTCCCACCCTCAAGATTTGAAATAAAAGAGTAAAAAAGACAAAGGCGAAACGGTGTCGTAAAAGGAATCCATATCCGTCCCAAGTCAGCGACTCAGCATGGGTCTTCAGTTTACGTTCCCTCCCCTTTAAAAATCAAAATCAAAGCCAGAAGTAGAAACTCGCAACCGTTGCGATTCAGAAGCGAAATCTTCCATTGAAGCAACTACTCTCTTCCATGGATTTCACTCCTCCGTCTCACCGCTCCGACCCTCGATCTCGAACAAAGTCAGCCGCACGTCTCGCAATTGAAGCAGACCAAATTCCCCATTTCTCAGTCGAAACCATTTCTTCGCCGCCCAACAAAACCCATTCCCCTTCCATTCACCAGCCCTTGCTTCTGTCGCCATCCACTCTCAGGAAATCCAGGTCCCGTCTCGTGGATCGGTTCGAAATGAACGACGAGGTTATGGAGGCCGCCGCCGTACGGAGAAGGTGTAAAACCCGCGGCCTCCCATTTGGGCTTCTGGGCTGTGCTTCTCCGAGGAGCGTGAGAAGGTCGAGAAGACGATCGGAGGTGGAGATCAGAGAAGAGAGGGATTTGTCTTTGGCGGAAGAGTTTGTGAAGACTAGAAAGAAAAGGCAGAGCGGGAGATCGAAGAAGGACAAGCTGAGTTTGGTTCCAGTTCCAACGATGCCTTCGAGTTCAACTCCAAGTAAATCAAAGATTTCTCTATTCTCTTTTATTGATTGATTTTCTTTCTCTCTGATCTGAAGTGGTTCTTGTCTGTATAATAGAGCTTGATAATGACGAAAATGGTAGTCTGGATCGAATCAGGCAGCTGATAACTGATCTGATCATGTGGAAAGATGCGGCGAAGTCTAGCTTTTGGTTTGGACTTGGTTCTTTATTTTTCTTCTCCTCTTGCTTCGCTAGAGGAGTTAGCTTTAGGTCTGCCTCTCTAACTCGAGTAATCGTTAACCATTATAGTTTCGTACGAGCGTGTGATCATTTAATAACAGTTCTAATATCAATGATCACAGCATTTTCTCGGCGGTTTCGCATCTTGGACTTCTGTTTCTTGGCCTTGCATTTGTCTCCAATTCAATCTGTCAAAGGTACAGTTCTTAATCAATCTTTAATCACATTAAAACCCCACCAATCTTTCTTTCTTTACTTAATATCAAATTTGAAACTGTAGGAACAATGTGGAAAAGAAACACAACGACTTCAAGCTTAAAGAAGATGACGTACTACGCATGGTGAAGCTGGTTCTTCCAGCTGCAAACTTTGTCATTTCAAACATAACGGAGCTTTTCTGTGGAGAGGCAGAGATGACCCTGAAAGTAACCACAAAACTCAATATCCATGATCATTCTACAATGTCAAATAACAAATCATTTTAACTTCTGTGGTTGGATGTGATACAAATCTTTCTGGGTTTGCAGGTAGCTCCATTCCTCATTTTAGGAGCTGAGTATGGACATCTTATTACTCTTAGAAGACTCTGTGCAATTGGTATATACTATAACTAAGATCATTTCAGAACTTGCTTAAAAATCTCCCGTTGATTTATGATTACTTACTTTAATCAACATTTACTTGCAGGGTTCTTTGCCAGTTTCTCTGTGCCAAAGCTATATTCATGTTACCAAATTAAGATAAACAGCAAAGGTAAACAGCAATTCTTGGAAACTCCCACTCAAACATAGCTGCTTATGCATTTGTATTATTTTAAGATCTCACATCGGTTGGAGAGAAAAACGAAACATTCCTTATAAGGGTGTGGAAACCTCTCCCTAGCAGATGAGTTTTAAAACCGTGAGGCTGACGGCAATACTTAACGAGTCAAAGTGAACAATATCTACTAGTGGTGAGCTTGGACTTTTACAAATGATATAGAGCCAATCATCGGGGTGGTGTATCAGTGAGAACGCTGAGCTCCTAGGGGGTGGATTGTGAGATCCCACGTTGGTTGGAGAGGAGAACGAACATTACTTATAAGGGTGTGGCAACCTCTCCCTAGCAAACGCGTTTTAAAACCATGAGGCTGATGACGATGCGTGATGGGTCGAAGCAGACAATAAATACTAGCGGTGGGGTTGGGTTTTTATAATTATAATGTGATGCTGAACTGAAGAAGATGACGATGGGGTTTAAATTTTAACAGCCGATGCTGTGAAACAATGGATGTTTGAAGTATGGGAAGCTTGCTCGCATAAGAAAGTAGTGGTAGGATCAGCAGCCACAGTGTTCTGGAACTTTTCATCCCTAAAGACCCGAATTTTCACGGGTAAGAATCCTGTAAGATGTTGTCAATTTTCTTCATTCAGTAAATGATGATTATTAAGCTCTTTAAGGATTTGTTGTTACAGCTTTCATAGCTCTAGTTATAGTTCGGTACTGCCGGCAATTTATAGTGTCGTCGGAACCGGAAGCTGTAGACGTACAAGAGGACGAGTGCCAGGCACTGGTTCTAGTAGAACAAGGCTAAGGAGGAGGAGGAGCAGAGGCAAGCTCTAGTGGTGGCGGAACCCCATCGCCAGCCTTGATTTGGTTTTGCTGCTTCTTGTCTGCACCATCGGCTGTGTTGTGTTTTTTTTTTTTTTGGTTTGAACCTCCGACCTTAAGGGATGGAGTAACTGCCAACAGTTGAGCTATATTCACCAACCTTGGCTTAGCTTGGCTGGGAATGTGTTAGTCTTCTCCTACTCAAATTTAATTGATTGATTCTAACATCTTTCAGCTCAAATCTGCATATGCTCTTACACTGAAAATCTCAAATTAAGTTAGAATTGACATTTGGGTCCTCTCATGAAGATTAGTCTCATGGGTGGGGGTGGCGGATCTAGCTTTTGAGACTAGTGTGTCCTAATTATAGGTCAAGTAATTGTTCTTTTCATAGTGTCTTCATTTAAACAAATCATTTTGGGCCATACCTTTGATTTGCTTAACCAGTCCCTAGAGGCAGCATTTAATGTGCATGTAATAATCGGATTCTATCGTCAAGTCATTGCCATTTTGCATTTTGTTTAGATGAATTGAGAAACCAATCGCGAGTTAGAAAAAAATTAATTTATACCTATAAACTTTGAGTTATATCAAGAGGTGAGAACAGTGACCATGATTCTACATTCCTGCCAATTTAATATTCCATCAATATATTTTTCCCTGTATCAAACTCAGCAATGAACTGAATTGAACGGTAATTAATATGTACTTTGAGAAAAGAACCAAAGCACAATTTGGTCATTTCATCAAGTAAATGTTAAGGCTCTATATTCAATAGGGTTTGTCAATGTCGATCGAGTCAGGTCGATAGGTTACGTCAGGAAAATCGGAAGAGGATGGAGGATGAAGATAATAACAAAACACAGTTAGCAAAGCCATGGAAGAACAAATGGAAGAAAAGTAAGCTCGAATACTAAATATGATTTGGAAACAGACTAAATGATACGTACAGAAAACTTATCAGGATAAAACAACTCGAATTCCATGCTACCAATAAGCTCCACGAGCTCCTACTAAGCTTGCTTTTTTAGGAGGCACTGCCTAGCCAGAACATGAATCATACCTTTTCTGTCATACAGCTTTCTCCGATTTTATGGATCGAAAAAGGAAAAGAAAAAAAAAATCTAGACATGGGAATACAAATCAATATGTATTGGCTAAAATCACCATTTTCCACGCTAAGCCAAACAGCCAGTGGTATGTTTGAAAATCGTCTCAGGGCAGAGTTTGGCCAACCTACTTGGTTATATCCAGATTGCAAGGTGCTTTTGTTTGCATTTTGTCCATCCACCCAGTAAACGGCACTTATATGTTGATTCGTGTCTTCATTTTATGTACTTGCCTGATGTTGAAAACTAAGACCAATCTGTCTTCGCACGTACTCTGGTAGCAGCCTGCTGATCAGTTCAGGGGATGCTCCAGCTAACTGCAATAAGATGAGAGGATGAAATGTCAATTTGAAATTTTTTACTCTTCTCCTCTTGATAGAATTTCTTTTGTCCATCCAGGGAATTGCAGTTAGGATCTATGTAGAATTTCATGAAAAGTAGATAAATAAATATATAATTAAGATGCCGTAACAAAGGAGCAGAACTGTCTTGCACAGAAATGGCCTATCATCTCCATCTCCTAAAGAGAAGTCTTGAATATAACCTATGCAGTATCTTAAGTTTGTTTGGAATAGGAAATAAAAGGTTAATTTACTTCTTGCTTAAAGTTGAATAGAGGGGGCAATGGGCGGTTGTTAGGGAGGCGGACATTGGGCTCCCGTAGCTCATCAAAGAAAGGATGCGCACACGCTTCTAGCTGCAATGAATAGAAAGAAAAGATGAGTAAAAGCCGACAATCACCATCAGTAACATGAACAGGAATTTCCTTAATATCCAAAAACCAAAGTCCTGAATGGGGATATCTTTGGCTAGATAAAGACATGATACAATGAAATATGCCAAGTGCAATTATCTTCTTCACGAAATTTATTATAGGACTGATTTATGATGAAAAAATAAAACATTAGTATTGCATGTAACTTAGAATTCAGATGAAGAGTGGAAAGCGGTTCAACTCACAGCTGTGCAGCGAAGACTAGGAGAATACTGAAGCAGACGTGAAGCAAGGTCAATGGCTTCAGGAGGCATTCGCTTGTGAAAAACCTAAACAGAATAACCATTTTAACTGTAGAAATGTTGGAGCAAAAGATCGAAAACCCACATTGTTCCAGCACGCAAAATAGTGCGGCACAAAACCCATAACGATGACAGTTACATTCCATGAAGAGAAGAACAGAGAATACGAGGAAAGTTTAGGAAATCCCAATTCCGAACACTCACATTAATCAGGCAATCTCTAAATTGCACGGTACATGGAAAGATAACTAGAGCTACATGAAGGTGCAACTAATATAAGTACAGTGACGTAAAATTTTTAAGAAGGATTTAACTAAAGCTCTTTGACCACTGAGTTTTCTTATGACATTTATGAGCTCACAGTTTGCATGCAGACTTTTCTAATCATATTTTCACGTCCTACAGGAAGAGAAAAAAAAAAAAAAAAAAATTGACTCACTTGATTGAATGAGTCAAAATCTAATTGTATACCTTGTGCCATGGATGGGCTTTAATCTGAGGGAACCTGAAGTCTGTGTAATTTGGATTCATACATCGAATTTCTTCCCGAGTTGGAGTACCAAGAACCTATAAGAAGCTTAAAAGATAAGAGATGAAACTTCATTTTGATCGTTTTAGAATCAACATACAACTGAGGTATCACCTTGATTATCTCTACAAGTTGGTCCACTGCATTTTCCCCGGGAAACAACGGCTGCAACAAATCAGAAAGACTAAGCAAAAGGAGCAAGAGTAGAAATACATCTGTTTGCGGGAAATAATTAGAAATTGAAATGTCAAAATCACTGACCTGGCCTAGAAGAAGTTCAGCAAGAACACAACCAGCCGACCATATATCAATGGAGGTTGTGTATTCTGTTGCACCAAATATGAGTTCTGGAGCTCGATAATAACGTGAGCATATATATGATATATTTGCTTCACCCTTAACCTGAAAACAGAAGCAAAAGGAAAAAGTGTCATTGGAGAAAGAAGTACGTCAATAGATTATTCAAATGACTTTATTAGTCTCTTTCTAACCATACATCGAGATGAGTTACATGATGGAATAATTTTCTTATAAAGAAAAACTCATAGTTAGTGGTTTGAACACTGGACTTTAAGCTATTAATTTCAACACTTGGTCTTATGCAGAATATATGAATAAATGGAAAATGTGTGTCAACCAAAAAATTAGAAATGAAGAGAGCGTACCAGTACTTTTGCGCTTCCAAAGTCACAAATCTTAACCTGATGAGTTAAAGGATCAACCTGCAATTTCCATGGCATTGTTTCAGAAACATAGTTCCACCATAGGAAAATAGAAGAATTACGGGGAAAAGGCATACCAAAAGATTTTGAGGCTTCACATCCCTATGGCAGACCCCAGGAACCGAATGAATATATGCAAGGCCCCTAAAGATCTGAAGATTTTATTTACAACTGAGCGTTAGCATATAAGACAAATCCACTGAAAGTTAATGCATTGTAAATGAAATAATATGCCATACTTGATATGTGTAAAGTTTGACGTAGATGAGTGGCATCCTCTGGTTCATGCTGTTGTAGTGCTTAAGAACATGATACATATTTTGGGGAACAAATTCCATAACCAAATTCAAGAAAAGCTCATCTTTACTAGTTGTCGAGAAGAAGCAATGCTTCAGAGAGACCACATTTGGGTGATCCATCAGACGCATTAGCTGCAACTCCCTGTTTTTATAACGTTTATCTTGCAAAACCTTTTTTATGCCAACTGTTTCTCCTGTTTCCAAGCATTTTGCCTGATAAAAAGGGATGTCAAACTACAAAAATATAGAAAGAGCACAAACTTTGTCATATAGTGATATATAATTATGCATTACCTGGAATACAATTCCAAATGAACCACTACCCACCACACGCTCAGCCATGTAACTGATTGTCTACATTGCAAAAAATGAAAATTTAACATGTCAGCAATTTATATTTCAAAGATAATTCTGACTGCATCGAAGATTACTAGATTCCTATTAAGTTTCATAAAAACAAATGAATTATTGGTTAAATAGGTAAGTTGTATACTGTCCCATATTAAACTATGTTATAAACATATGACAAACACATTTATTCCACAAATGAACTGAAGGAGAAAATTATTGGAACCAATTATGAGATGAGGAGAATGAGAGTTTAACCTGTTTTGGTTCACCATTTTTGCCACCAATTGTAGTGGAAATGATGTGACCAGTTACTGCATCATTCCCTTCAATTACTGCAGCTGACATTTCCTGGAATTTGCAGCATAAAGCATGGTAAATCAGGCAGGAAGTTTAGGCCTATGAGTGATATACACTAGATGCATAAAGGACACATGAAAACATAGAGAGCTCATCCACATATAAGCCTGTGATAGTGAAACGTACAACCTATTTTATTGGGAATAGAACTGAACAGTATGTAAATAAAACCTTTTAGTTGTTGATAAATCATAGAACCAAAATTGTTTTGAATGATTATCCACATTCAATGAAAGCACATCTAGTATCAAGAAACCTGAGTAGGAAAGCCCACGATTGATTTTAGGAAATAGAGTATTTGTTGCTCCCAGTTCCTAGAATCCCATGTGAGGCACCTCGTCTATTTTAGGAAGTGAAGGACGATGTACACATCTACAAAACTAACTTCACAGTAATTATATAACTGGTGCATCAGCTGAAAATTTATGATGGTGTTTTGGGATTTGTGACAAGGATCGGAATGTATCTGAAGAAATTGAAGATGGGTCTCGAAATGTAGGACTTCAGACAGATTAATGTATCCAGAGCAACGTCTTGGGAAAGCAAAATAGATAGCTATTGTTCACAAGAAAGCATCACATGCTACAATGAGCTTGCATCACATGCTAGAGAGACCTTGCATCTCCACCCAAGGAACTAAGGAGAGAATCAGCCGTTATCGACTTCCCAAAGCAAACTATAATTGTTTTTAAAAAGATTCATAGAGAAGAGTAACCGTAATTAGAAACAATAATAATCAAAATTACAGAGGATGAAACAATAACAAAGACTACACGAGATCGGAACAAATTGAAGGACTGGGAAAAGAAGATTCGGAATCATCAATTAGATGATTCATTTACAATACAAAGTTTAATTCGGACGCCCGCACAGTTCCAAGTTAATTTTCCAATTTATAAGGTTAGGAGGAAAGGAAAAGGTGTGGATTACAAACCACTCCCTCGATTTTGAGAGCAATTAAACTAACAGAAAACGGTTGGAGCAAATTTAGCTCAATCTTAGACGCAAGATCTCATCTAAATACTTGATCAAACACTGGACCAAATATTTCAAATCAACGAGAGAAAACTACCAAATCACCGTAGATCGCTCCTAACTTAGCATGAAACGACGACCTCGAGCTAGATCAGGCACAAACAAAGAATCAACAGAAGCAAAAATAACAGAGAGGAAAAACACCGACTACACACAGACGGCGACAGACACAAAGAGAGAAAGGAAGAGAACCTTATCGGTGTCCATTGCCGAGGCACGGTGAGAGTTGAGATTTAGACGGTCATTTTCAGGTGGAGGCTGCTGTAGCAGCTGTACTGGTGGCTGAGACGGTGGCTGTGGTGGAGGTTGATGGCGAGGCCCTAATGGCAAGGAGGCCATGTGAGACTAGAGCTCTCTCTCTCTCTCTCTCTCTCTCTCTCTCCTCTCTCTCTATTCTCTCTCTCCTCTCTCTCTATTTCTCTTTCTTCCCCGTTTTTGTCCCTATTTTTCTTTTTTCTTTTATTAATTATCAAAATTTCCAAGTCTCATTAGAGAAATAGATAGAGTAGACCCACGCGCGAACTTTCGTAGCTGAAGTTGCACGCTCCAATCACAGACTTCCATTGCTGTCTTATCTATGTCCCAACCAAGTGACAATAATCTAATGCATCGCGGTGTGCCGTAACTCCCATACACTTCCCGGAAACACTTCCGACAACAATCACATGGAAATGGAACCCATCGGTTTATTTCAGCACCAATCATTCCGGCTTATAATTTTTTTTAAGAAATTTATTATTATTATTTTACTCACTTTTTTTTAATAATAATTCCAGTTCTATATCAACATTTTCATTATATCATTAAAAAATAATAATGAAATATAAGAGAAAAAAATAATAAATATCACTCTTTTATTTTAATTTCTAAAATTTCCACAGTAATAAAATCAATTATTTTAGTAATTAGTTTCTTATCCAATAAATTATGTTTAATGGCTGACCTGGAATTTGACTTTGAAAAAATGGACATATATTTTTGAAAGCTTTTAAATTCCACAATGATTATTATTTTATTTTTTTCACCCGAAATAATTAATAAAAAATGAGGAAGAAATTAGATATTGGAAGTAAAAATGTTGAAAATAGGGTGAGAGGAGCCCATTCATTATGTGTGTTCCATGTGCGTAATGCATGGGAAATGGAGCCATGTGCTGCTACTCTCCTTGCTAACCACTTTGTTAGAATGAATTAAAGACTATGTCAAACCATATGTGCTGTGCATAGTTTGCTTACCTAAACAATTCTTGATTGAAGATTTGACTTGAACCCATTTGATGGGACCGTGTTGCAACATCTTAAGTCTATCGCCCAACCGATGTGGGATTTCATAATCCACCCCCTTCAAGGTCTAGCGTCCTCGCTAGCACACATTCTCATTTCCAATCGATGTGTAATCTCACAATTCAACCTCATTTGAGAACCAACGTCCTCACTGGTACATCACCCGATGTCTGGCTCTGATACCATTTGTAATAACTCAAGTTCACCGCTAACAAATATTGTCCTCTTTAGACTTTTCCTTCTGAACTTCCCCCAAGATTTTAAAACTAGGAATAGGTTTATATACTCTAATAAAAAATATTTCGTTCTACTCTACAACCGAGGTAGTACCCTCCACGCCCCCCACCTCCCAGCTTTAAGCCTCAAAGACTCATAAATGCCTTGAATTTCCTTCTGTATCATCGAATGTTGGGCATCACAATTAGTCAAGAAAGAATATCTTTACCCAACTTGGGGGATAACACAAGCACTCTGCTGTGTTTTTTCCTTCAATAGCTCAACATTAAAAAGGGGAGAGAGTAAATGGAGAATATGGCAGAAGTTCTGATTACCATGTTTGGTTAATGTCATGTCTAGGCGTCAGGTATGACAAGGAGGGCCTCCTCTGCCTCTAAGTCTCTCCTCTTTTTCCTCTGGCTAAAACAAGCTCTCTGCTATTTTTCCTTCAATGCACCAACATAAAAGAGAGAAGAATCGACAGATATCTATTTATTCTGTTTGGCTAAATGTATCTCTAGGTGTCAGAAATGGGAAAGAGAACATATGCCTTGGGTCAAGTATACTCGACATGGCTTACTTTTTGTTTGAGCTTAGAACAACACTGTCTATAACAAGAAGCTATTGCAAATAACCGATCTCTATAGAATACTAGTATTGAGTCTTTTACTGAATTGTGTAAAAAATGGGCAAAACTATTTTGCCATAAACAGAAATGGGAAAATGCATTCAAGATTTTCAGAGTTGATTTCATAATGGGAAGGGATCAGATTAAATTGATTCAACAAGAACCATATTTATTTTTCTGGGCCGACATCATTCAATTCCCTCCCTGGTACAGTTCTGCTAAAATGCCAAGCTAGAAATTCCCATGAAAGCCTAAAACCAGTAAAAAAAAAGTAAAGGAGTCTGAAGCAAGAAATGCTTGAACTTGTTGGACAAAGCCTTCACTCTCAAGCTGGAGGATAGGTGAGCTAGAGAGTGGTGTGCATTGTCGTGCCAGAGACCTCAAAGCAATAAAGGGAGGGAGAGGGAGGGCGATGGAGAGTAAATTCCATACTAAGGAGAGATCAGTTTCCATTGATCGACCAGGAACCATGCTAGATATAGTTTGGGACTCTGCTGTTTCAATTCTCACCCCATGCAGATTCAGCAGGGGGAGGGCAGGGAAAGAGAGTGAGGAAGGGAAAAGCAGGGTTTGTTGCATTGGCAGAGGCCTCGGAGGAGGTGGGGGTTGGGGGGGGGGGNGGGGGGGGGGGGGGGGGGGGGGGGGGGGGGGGGGGGGGGGGGGGGGGGGGGGGGGGGGGGGCACTGTTGAGAGTAATAAATTTCAACAGTGACCATTTTTTATGGCCTAGGCAAGGAGAAAATAGAAATGCTGACCAGAGTTTACACGTCGGTTGGGAAGGAGATCGAAGCATAGAGGGTGTAAATTTGATCATACCAACCAAAATCAACCGTGACTACAGTGAGATCCCACATCGGTTGAGGAGGAGATTGAAACATTATTTATAAAGAGTGGAAATATCTCTCTAGCAAACAGGGTTTTAAAAACCTTGGAGAAACTCGAAAGGAAAAACCCAAAAAAGACAATATATGCTAGCAGTGGATGCACATGCATCCTTTGAACAAAGGGGAAACTTACACAGAAATCAAATTGCATCTTGGCATCAATTGTAGAAAGAATGTTCAGAAACAACCAGAAAACAACATCCATACGCTCTCAATACAAAGTTCTAACTTATTAATGGTCATGGGTGCAGCCATTTAATTCTGATGTGAAAAGTACAGCCAAAACATCTGGAAACTAACGCAACATGACAGTCATGATATTCATTTATTTCCAGGTAAGAACTTACAAAGACATTGCAACAGTGGTTATAAAAGCACACAAGGATGGTCGCATATAATTACACATTGAAACCACGGTAGGAAATAAACTTTTGTGCATGGTTCAAACAAAAGCTTGTGCAGCACTCATACTTAACTTTCCACATCTCTTTATTTCTTCCCACGCAGTTTTGCTCCAAGAGCTCTCTCAAGTTTGGTAATGATTTGTTGATTTGGAATAGCTTTACCAGATTCGTATTCCTGGATAACTTGAGGCTTCTCATTAATAAGCTACAGGGGAAGAAAAACATAAGTCCGGGTCATCATTAATACGCGCACATAAAAGGGGTTGAGCGAGCCAACAAAAAATGAAACGAACATACTTGAGCAAGCTGAGACTGAGTAAGCTTCTTCTCTGTTCGTGCTTGCATAATTGCTTTCTTCAGCTCAGTTGGTACACGATCATCTAGAGTCAAAATAAAACATGAACAATGATATTTAAAAACATATTGCTAACATCAAATGACGAAGCTTCGTGCACTCGGTTGTGCCATCTATAGAGAGATATAAAAGTAATTGAGATAGTAAATATATCATGCGATGCACTGCATGCAAGCTCTTTATAAGATATGAAACCAACGGATCCTCTGACTGATTGAAAAAAGAGATTTTAAAAAGAAAAATTGTACAACCATGCTATGCAAGTGTAATCCAGAAGTACTAACGTGTAAGGTTCTCAGTCTCTTCGTCAAGCTTCCTAGTGTTCAAAGAAGTACTGCTAGAAGCAGATTTGTTGGAGCCAGCAGTAGCTGCAAAACGCAAAAGAAAGTATCATTGGAACACTAAATTTCACCTGATAAAACAGACTCCTAACGAATCGTGAATAAACATAAGCAGAGTATAAGGGGGTTTCAAACAGATACGCATATCCCAACCCCCAAACGATCCTTGCCCACTCGATCCATGAGAAAATTTAGACACCCCATGTGATACCCAGTTCAAAAAATCATCTCGAATGGCCTCCCAATAAGAAACTTGGTTGTATCTCTCTAATCCAAAACCCGATTATCATCACCTCCGCGCTTAACAGTTATGAACTTACGATTAAATAGAGTTGAAAGATAAAACAAAAACAAGAAAACAGCGATTGGGGTTTCAATAAGAAAATCGAAAGGATAATTGATCAAAGTTATAGAGCGAGCGCACATTTCTTTACAGTCTCAATCTCCGCCCCGGCTCGCCGTGCGGCATTGACAGCTTTCTCATCCTTCTTCGCGGCCGCGTTGGGTGCCTTCTTCCTGATGACCACCGGCTCCCAGTCCTGTGTAAGCGGTCCGATTCCAGCCATTTCAACTTT